TAAACTAAAATTTAACTCTACTTTAATTTTAAATTTAAAAGTTTTTCGAAAAGATACTCTAGCATTATAAGTAGTAATTTTACGATCTCATTTTACTGCCACGAGATTCTATGGAGGAAGCTCAGTAAGCAAAAAACTATTAATATCAAATTAAAATACTTTCAAACTTTTTTATTGGATGAATATATTAACAATGATATATTAGCTGACATTTCCATATTAAGCTCAACTAGGTACTTGCTTTTAGACAAGAATCTGCTAGGATCACGACAGCTAAGGTACCTTAGTCAAATATGGCCACCTTGATGTTTCAAACCCTTTTTATAATATCAAAGATAAAAAACAAGTCATAGTACGATATTTGTCCATGGAGAGTGGCTATTCAACCCTATAATAAAGGCAGACCAATACAAAAACATTAAATGATGAAAAGTATTTTCAGCAGTTTAAAAAAAAAATTGAAAATTGACCATATTTTCGACGGGGTAGGTTTTGCCCATATATGTGGCCATATTTACTATATTAACGTAGGCTTTAAATAACTACTGAACAAACTGAAACAAGCATGGATATTGGGTTTTAAGAGAGAATGTATTTAAAAGATATTCTTTGGTCGACATCCAGTACAATAAAGAACAAGCTCTTGTTTATCAAATAAGATTAAGGATAATAAAATTAAAGTGACATACAAACGGTAAGTTTTGCTTGATTAAAAATGCTACACATATAGAAAATCAACATTCTTATTAAAAACCACAAACGATGATATTTCAAACTAGAAAAATTGTTAACCTAATGAATGGGTAAGAAATCACTTGTTATTAAATCAAGATAATAAATATAATTTCAGCTACCAAAATTTAATATCCAAGCAATAGCTATAAAAAAAGTCAGTAATTCGGTACCGTAAATATGGCCAAACGGTGGCCATATTTGCAGTCATCCAATTTTTTGTTTTCATATTCACGAATGAAAAATACACTATTGCTTTGATAAATGAACAAAGAAATATCAAATTGCAATTATTGTTACACAACGTCGTAATGTGAGCAGTACAGATTCATATTTGAACAATAATAAAATACAGTACCATACTTACTCAGCGTTTTTATAACCTTAACACTGCTTTTCACTATAATGAACGCTGAGCGGATAGCGGGTAGTAGGTACACCGTTCGGATAGATGCGACACAATAATTTAGGGTCGTGTTTAGGTTATAACCAATTTTCATGTTTGGAATAATGGTATGTGGTTATTTCACTGGCTGGCCGTATTCGACCTGGATTCCTGGATACTTCAGGTATTTGAGGATGATTTTTGACTTATTTAGTCAGTTTGAGTGAGTACAGCCAATGTATTATTGGCTTGTCACTTTGTTAGGCAATTGTAAACAAATGAGCCCAAAGTATGCACTAAAACTACACAATTTTGTCGACAAACAATGCACTGTAAACCTTGACCCCTCCTCTCCTATTCGGTTTCGTTGAAAAAATAAATATAAGGTACAAAGTGCAATCACCGTTTCATAAAAATTCCTTAATTTGACTGCGATCCAGTGTATTTATCACATTTAGCACTTCATCGAATTGAAACTTTTCGCAAAAAGTTGAAAAATGATTATTATTAAATCCAGCAGTCATTGGGTTATTATCAGGATAAAACTTAGTACGAGTCTTCGTAAAATAGTTTTCGAGTGGAATACTGTGTGACAAAATAATTGTTAGATATACACTAAACAGTTCTCAGTTTTAGCCCTGTCGTATAAATAAATCAATTGAAATAAGTTAAGTTACCTATTAAATTTCACGCTATGGATATATTTTGATAACAGATTGATACCAATTTCTATCGTGGTCAGCATAGTTTTTGCTGTTCTGAAACCATTGTTCAATTAGAAAGAGCATAGATCTTCTGATTGTGTCTGAAATAGTTGGCATGCCGTTTTGACATATCATGCTTGCCATATTGACACTCACGAGGTGTGTTGCAGATGCTAAAATAGCCGTCATAACTTCAATAAGCTTTTTTTAATATTACCGTAAGGGACCTTCCAAGTATTATGTAAGCACTAAACGAGTGTGGGGCGTTGCTTATTTTTGACGACCTGGGAGATGGGGGAGGGGTGTCTAGATGGTGATGACGTCAGCAATATTTATTTTTTTACTTTTTCGGATTCTCTACAAAATTTAGTCGTCATTGATTTGAACACGTATGGCAGCCTTGCTTGTCTATGCTCGCTTCAGCTGGTTTGATACTGCCTCATGACCCATTTGAGTCTCATTATTTAGATGACCGGGGCGTTACAATTGGTGAATATTTAGGATCCAATCGAGTTTGCCGGATATCTATTAGCAAAGGTATGGTGTAATCAATGGATATTCATGGTAATCATGTTACTGCAAAGTATGTTGGGTCAGGCGAGCCAGATCTTCCTGATTTTCCAGACATTAAATGGTATTCAGATCATGTGCGTGAAAGCCAATACTTGATTCCAATTGTAAAATGTTTCAAAATGTTTACATAAGGCTGGGAGGGAGGGCTAGAGATTTGCTTGCTTTTGCTGACAAGAGGAGGTGGAGGGGTTTAATTGTAAAAAATCTGCTTACGTAATACTTAAACGGTCCCCAATTGCCTGGTAGTCTAAGCTCAGTGACCCCTAGGTCCATTTACGTTATGCTTAACGAAGTATGACGTCTGAAACTCTGAATAAAAATCGACATCATTAATAAGCCGTTCGCAAATTTTCCGCCATTATACCGTTAGGCTAGGCATGACAGGAGCGGATATGCAAACTGGGCGTCTTGGCCTTTACTCTCGATTACATTCATGATATAGTTTAGGCAAATTCGATCGAAATATCAATATTTTGTCCCCAATAAGTATATTACATCACCAGTACATTCTTTTAGTTCCAAATCCACTGAAAATGTATATGTACATGTATATATCCGTCGGACTGTCCGATTGCCCGTTAACCCTTGACCCCCTCTACATATGAAAAGTGAAAAGTGTCGCTCGGTTTGTGATGAAATTTGAAATAAGGAAAATGAGAACAAAAATCGGTGCAGTGGCGGCGGGTCTACGAAAAAAAAAATGCTCAAGCTTTTAACGCTTCAGAGATTACTGGTCATTTTTGAGATTTTTTTGAAGATTAAAAAATGGGAGTTGGGGCTAGTAAGACGTTCTATCATTAATCATTTTCTGACATCGGTAATACTATGAACCTATCAGATAAATTAAAACTTTGATAAGTTCAAATAATGATAATTGAATACTTTTTTACTACACGTTTGGAGTTTGGATCCCCATACTGCTGCGACCGCCATAGTCGGCTATTTTACAACAGGTTGGCGGTAATTTCAGTAGCGCCATTTGGAATATTTGACACATCACTTTTGTTCATATATTAATTTAACTTCAGGTTTCACCTCCTATAATAATATCAATAGGTATGATATCAGCAAAAAACGTTCTTTTATTAAGAAGTGTCTTATCCCAGCAGTATTACGGATAAATAATATGGATACGATATAATATTCACATATAGTCCATTCAGTTGCCATAGAAATAGAAATGTGGTTTACTTTTTATAGTTTGAATTGTAGAACTATGGAGTTTTACAATAATAAATTTATTTATTGTATACCAATCGGTGCATTTTTATATGTACATATCATAGTTAAGCGAACATAACTAGTCAGGTTTCGATTTCATCAGAGTCATCAGAGAAGAAGCTTTGTGTCAAGTAGGTCAACTCTGAATCTCATATACAATTATTCTGATTGATATTTTTTGAGTCATAGATAATGTGGCATCAGTCCTGAAAATTAACCAAACATCTTCTAATTGATGACAGCGTGGGAAGTCAACCTACTCGGTCATTTTTTCTATGAACGAGAAATGGCAACAGGCAGATTTTAATCTATTTGGCGGACCCTGTAAATCTTCTAATGGATGCATAAAGAAAGTTTATGATGAAACCTTAATACATTTTTCACATCACAGGTGAAAAACCCAGAATATACTGCATCTTATTTGAAAAATGGATTGTAACAATAGCTTTAGCTATTAAAAATCCAATTTTGATTAGTTTTTTTTACTTAGATGTTAAATATCGCTGAAAATACCTCATTATATCTAGATAATTATAACTCTGAAGATGGACCATTCTAGTTTGATATTTTCATGCGGTAATGGATAAATACAGAACAATAAACGTATGAAATTTTGGCCAGCAACAATTACCGGATATCACGATCAAAAGTTAATAGTTTTCGGTGTTGAATCGGTTCGGAGAATACAAAATTGTATGCACTCGTATAAAGCCTGTCCAGTTTACATCTCAAATTTAGGAGTTTTGATCTCCTGGAAGATACTATCGTAAAATGCAATCGTAGTTTTACCTAATATTATTATCAGCATCTTTGAACCCAGTTTGCTCGAAACTTCCTGGGGCTTTATAAATTATCTCCAGGGAATTGATGTATGAACGAAAAAAGAATATAGGGAGAATCTGAGTTTGTTTGCTATACCGCTTATCCAACTCATGACGAACTCTGAGTAAGCTATAATTTGACTGACCTATGTGGCGTTTTACTCCCAATCGCGGTTTCGCAGCCATTGTTTTATTAATATTTACCGACGCAATCGTGACTGTTGTTATTAATATGCAGAATGCACACCGGGTCGAGTTGTATATCTGGATACGTACAGGAAACCGTAATATAAGTGATTGGTGGAGAAAGGTTCGCGCTGAAAGGTGATACTATAAATTATTTGTTATCTGTTAAATGAGAAAAGGGACAGATAACGGTTATACAACGGGTGAGTGTTATATATCATTAATTTATCAGTTAGGTATCTCACCTCCATATGTCCCAGATGTGGATGAAAGTTCAGGTGGCAATAAGTACATCTAGACGGCGGTGCTCCTAAAATCTTCTACTGGTACTTCTTCGTTGATACTAGTATCACACATGGAACAATTTTTTCAATGAGAGTCAAAACAGCTGTGGCGAGTTTGATCTATAAAGTAACGCTTCTGAAAGCAAATGTCTGGAATATATAGTAACTTTCTTGCCGTACCCAGTATAAGAATCAAATTCGATTGCTTCGGCGGGAGCTAGAGACGATTCAAATTGATTCTCTTTTAATGTGTGATTTTAAATACGTTTTTAACTATAGACGCGAACAAAAAATCAGCTAGGTGGAGAATACCTATTGCATTCAATACAGGGTGAACGCAACACTTCTTCGAGCATGGATATGTTGATGGACACAATTCTTTACTTTTATTCTTGTCTCCTCACTCATCATATCATGAGACTTAATAGTTACTTTGTTATGCCTAAAGTTATATGTATAATCTTCGAAGTTTTGCATCCGTTACAGGAGACCCAGGCAAAGCAACACCTTAAGCATTGTGCTGTTATTACAGACATAATGAATATGAAATTTAGGAAGCATCTAAATTAATTCTATCTTTGTCCTTCTGATAGTAAACAATAATTCTTTGTAGAATGTAACTATTAATACATAAATAACAAATAATAAATCTTTGCAGATTATATACTTTTCCCGGTCCCTCGGGTAAAGTGGATACAGAGATCGTGCAAAGGGAATACTTCTCACAAATGGTTAAGAGTTTAATTTTATACAAAAACAGACTGGAAAACAATCATCAGTGCTCCTAAACTTTGAACATGAATAAATAACAACAAAAGTAAGGGTACGAATATAGTGCATCCGCTTTTCCCTTAGGTATTCGCTTTGACCGAAGCGACTATCTTGTTTCATACCATCAAAATACATTACCATTAAAATACATATATTTTAAAACACTTAAACGCAAAAAATCGTAGATGAGATCAATTTTCAAATTTGAGTTATTTAAGCGCCCTAACCACCGCTTTAGACCTTGAGTTACCGTCTCACAACTTCTTGAATCATGTTAACGAACAGCCGACAAACGTGATTTTATTAAAAAATATAGACTTGGATTTTTTGTACACGTATGCGAGATTTTCGCCTCGTCTACATACCTATATGTTTGTATCTAAAAACAGTTGTAAATCCAGTAAATCTATGGTTAAAGTAGGTATGTAAATACTTAGTCTCGTTGACCTTCTGGTTGGCCTCAACTACAGCATTTAGTGGACGGCCGCTGGTCTCTGGTATGTCGACAGTTACCATTATTCTCGGAATGGCAGTAATGGCAGGTGTTTCAAACACAGACGTCCTTCAAGGCCTCCCCTATACAAATACCGCGCCTTATGGTCGTGAGGATCGGAAGCTATAAACTATACGTTTTTATTCATAGGTCAAAACCCAGGTAGAAGGGATACGTTGTTTTTCTGCGGATTATAAGCATCTAGGGATATACAGTGTGAATATTTAATGTGTAATCGACAGATAGCCTCCGTTATTTTCAAAGATTCAAAGATATCCAAAAAAAATCTCACAAAAATTTTATTCCACTACATATGTTATATATATAGTATATGCTCCTTATTTGGCAAATATGCCGCAAGTGGAGAGCCCTGTATATCTTAGTATTTTCGGAAAACCCTTTCTAAAGGAAGAGGTTCCATATAGAGCTTGGATCGCTACTTCTAGAGCTATTGGTTGTTTTGTAAGAAAAAACCCTTTGACAAAATGAGCTTTCCCAAAGATAAATGAATACTTATGAGAGGTAATTTCAATGAATGCCTGCACCTGTCTATTAAAAATCTCTAACTAAACCGTGAAAAGTACACCTTACGAAACTTGTTTTGGGGAAACGCTTGCTTTTTGGCAAAACTGGATTACTGACAAGCTGTCAAATTTTCGTGCAAAATATTCCATGGTTCCAGAAGTAACGATCAAAATTCTATAGTATGTAGTATTAACAGGATGTCTGCGAAAGGTTGGGAAATCTCGAAACTGGAGATACTAAAGACCAAAATATGTGAATTGACCTAAACAAACTTCTAGAGGGCGCCACTTACAGCACTATTTCGGTAATCATCACTTTTTTGTGCTACCGTGTAAACAACAACTGACCGAAACATCTTATTTTCTCGTATTTCCTAAAGACCAAAATATGTGAATTGACCTAAACAAACTTCTAGAGGGCGCCACTTACAGCACTATTTCGGTAATCATCACTTTTTTGTGCTACCGTGTATACAACAACTGACCGAAACATCTTATTTTCTCGTATTTCCTCAACAAAAAGTAGGTTGTCGTGATAGTGGAAAGGTAATGTAAAACTGGACAGTTAATAATAAGTGATGCGAAGAGAGATAGTTCTCTTAGATAGCAAGAAAGTGCTAGTACTACAGCTTGGATATTGATCAAATTTTGATAAAAGACCAGAAAGCTTTGTAGTTTTACAAAATCGATCTAGTGGCGGCGCAGTTGTGCGCAAAAAACGAAAAAATAAGAATCGCCCAAACTCCGCTTTTTAGCGTTTTAGAGACCTGCTTATTTTTCTGCATTTTTTATGAAAGGTAAAAACTTGCAGATCGAGTCGGGTACCAAAATGGAAGAAAGCAGCACAACACATCGTCCACCACTACTAACGCGACATGCCTTCGAATACGGAGGGTCACCGCGTTAGCAGTTGCCTACGATGTGTTTTGCAACTCTCTTCGATTTTTGTACCTGAGCATAGACTTATTTCTCTTGTACATTTGCCCTTAAAACTGAATTCAGGACTGAAAAATCCATTTAAATGTACAACATTCTACTTTAGCGTCCATATGGTGATTCAAGTCGAAAGAAGATACCTCGGACAGAAAATTTAACTACGCTAGTGGAGGACAAAAAGTGGCAATAACAACATGCAATTTATTTCTGAATCCCATCTCAAATAAAGTCAGGCCAAATAATTCTTTGGCGACAAATCTGGTATATGAAACAAATGCTCTGATAATTTCAGGCCTACTTGAGAACTAGTTTTTTTTTTAAATAACTGTTTCGCAATGTATGACATTATACATTTTTAGAATCAAAATTAAAAGCTCTATTCACCTGTGTAGAAATCAAATATGACGTCCTTAAGGAAAAATAAAGTTGATGCTGAAGGCAAGAGACGAAACGTCATATGTCATTTTGTAGAGGAGGAACAGTGGAAATGTTAATGTGCAATTTCTTTTGAAATCCGGCTACAAATAAAGCGAGTAAAAAATTAAAACAATTTTGGGAAAATTCTGTTTTTCCCGTCTCTCTTTCGCCCTCTAAGCGGCATTTTGTTAGTTACCTGAATGCGCAACTTTGCCCCCATTTAACCGGCTTCGTATCTCGTATCAAATAAGACTGCCTGATAACGTGTATGTGGTTTCCGTGCTATGACTACGCTGTCCATAATTCCGCTACGTCTGGCCATACTGCATTGTTGATACCTGTACTGGTAATAATTTATTCGTTTTGAACCTCTGTACCACAAAACTTAAGAAGGTTTAGTCACGTGCTATCCATAGGACAACACGGTTGATTTATGCAAGTGTCAATCGCAATTTTTTGTGAATGTCACATGGTTGCCAGATTGTGGAGGAACGCCGCATGCGACGTTGCCGGCTTGTTTGTTTATTTTAGCCAGTTAGATGTGTACATTAGCACGTCAAAAGTAAAGTAAATAATTTCAAATGATGAATAAAATGTAAAATATAAATAACAATAAATAGTACCACAGCCGACGTCAACTACGAGCCGTGATGAAAGAAAGGCAACACCGCGCTCGGACGGCATGGTAGTGCTACCTGTGTACGTCGGCCGCCGGCGGCTGTGTGCTCCGTCTCCGTGTAACGTTCAAGAACTAAATTTAATTTTGGAAAAGAGGACAGTTCGATTCGATACAAATCGTCTGAATATGAAATAGCTCTAAAAAATTTAAAAATACGAAATAATTGTGATATATATGAGTCGCTAATGCAGTTAACCTAATTAAAAGTATTTAGTTTACGTTTTTTGGTGTCAGCACACTGTGTTCCAACAGGCCCAGCTTGGAAATGTGGAGTTACCTGTTTGTTTTTAATACATTTACTTTCAGTTTTACTGTTATTTTTCAATTTTACATAATCATTCAAAATTATGTTTGAAAAAATAGACAAAAGCTTAGATAAAATATCTGCATAATTGCGGCCACAGATGCAAGTTAAAGAAAATTCACTGTATAAAAAGTCAGACTGAATGCTGAGCATGGTTAACTGACACAAAATAAATTTCTGATTATTGCTTTTCAAGAAGAAAATTTCCAATCTATCTACATTAATAATAGATTCAAAAATGGCATACATATGGTAGAATATGATTGGTATATAACTGGTTGGAATTGACAGTCCTCCTCTTTGCAAATGATCAAAATAAACATTTGTTGTTAATGAACCTTTTTCTTTAACTATTAGCGATTTGCATATCTCGCAGTTTAGGTTTTTAGAGATAGCGTGTGAAGCATATCCAGATATATAAGTCTTAGTACTATCCTCTATGTCACAATTGGCTAAGTAATTTGTCTCAAATACTTCATTGAATATATCCAAAACTTCAGGATTTTGTTTGGTATCCAAGAAATCAAAATTTTCTTGAGTTTCTAAGCAGTTTTGGAACCTTGTTTTAATTTCTGCTAAAGAAAATGACGATTTCTTTTCATTGAAAATATGCTTCAGCCGTATTTTCTTTTCAGCATTTAAAATTTCATCATATGACACATTGTAATTGCAGCCACATAAAAGTCTATAATTGCCAAATCGTTTTTCTAAATTATCAGTGGTGAATTTTCCAGGCAATACATACTCAATGTCAAATTGATTAAATGAATATTCAATTATATTAAGTAGAGTCAGCGTGCTTTGATATAGAGCTGTATACGTTTCTGGTGTCAGGTGTCCATTATTATTCTCTAGATTATGCCATTTTTCTAACCATATCAGGAATTTTTTTAAAAATTGTACTCTATAATCATATTTATTGGTAATAGGCTTACAAAATTCGTTTCGCTTCAATTCTCCTTTTATTACACTTGTATTACTGACAATATCCCACCAATTCCTGATTATTTCCAAAAAGTGTGCAGCATCATTAAACTTTAATTCTTTCATAGCAGCTATTGTTGAGTGATGGAATAAATTATCTACAAAATTTACATTTTGCCTTTCAAATGAATTTGGATGCAATGTTTTATAATTTAATTTATATGCTTTCTTAACTACAGCTTCTTTTTCCAATTGATATACAGCACGAATGTTTTCAAATTTAGCATACTGAATAATATCATTATTGTCAAAATTAGGATATACAAAAGTTTTGTCTAGGTTTTTTAAATTAATCCAATTATTTCTGATACTCTTGAAAATATGCACAACATCATAAGTTAAATATATGTTCTTATCAGGATTATGTGGATTTGGAATAGAATAATTTTCTGATGAATCCTTTGCTAATTTCCTGAACATTGCTCTATTAATTCGGTGATTATCGGTAACAACACAAATAACTTCAAATCCACATTTTTGAACTAAATTTATCACATGCTCAACCAAAGGTGTCATTTCATCTCCTGTTAGATTTGAAACTGGTAGTAATTTGATAATTTCTGTTATGTTTCCAAATGCTGAAGATAGCATGAATGCTAAAACAGTTTTAGCCATGTCATTTTTATTTGAGGCATACCCAACAATGTTTTGTGAGCGATAGTCCAGCCTAGATGTTATATAAATTTCATCGATCATCAAAATTACAATTTTTTCTCTTGGAGCTAATTTAATTGCTATATTCGAAAGGTAGTGTTCATTATTCCTATCATTTTTTGGAGATATATCCATACTTGAGGAGATATGTTGTAAGTATCGCTTACTTGGCAAAATAAAAAATCTTTTAATTAAATTATATGTTGATGATGAGTGGTTATAAAACGTAAAAGCCATTATTATTGAAAGTGATGCATATCTGTTTTTCCTGTTTTGAATTTGTGTCAGCTGATCAGCAATAATCTCTAGATTTTTTGTATATGGAAACATAACTGAGTCATTATTAATTATGGAAATCGCTGTGTCAAGTTGTTCCAATGCATTCATGATGCAAACTTCAACAGAGTTTTTGTGTTGGTTCTCAGAAAAATAGAAAAAATACCTATTTAGCAGGTTTTCTAATTGGGACCATCTGGTAATTTTGAGATCATATGGCAAAACCCACTTCAAGTCACTAAAAGAAAGCTTACATCCTTTTTGAACAACCTGAACTTCCATCTGACCATCAACTATAATCTGTGTATTCAAAGTTAAGATATCATTTTCAAAATCCAATTTATAAAAATATAGCTTTCCATCAGATAATTTATTATTCCATTTCTGTGAGGCTTTAATTTTTGAAAATGAAGAATGTAATTCTTGAAAGTCTTTGATCTTATCCATATCATCGAAATTCTGGATAGCTTTTTCATGTTTCTCAATTAATTTTTGTTTTCTTTGCATTGGGTCAGTTCTTTTGGGTGCTTCAGTTTTTGAAAGATATGATGGCAAGTTTGGGAAAATGGAGGGAACAGCATTATCTTTCAATTTTGGATATTTCAAAGGTATATTATTTTGGACTGTTCCATCCACCAAAACTATATTTTCTGTCCTGATGATATCTGATTCTCTAAAATGACGACTGCACACAGCTGAATATTTTGAGGGTGTCCACTTTTTTCTGGGAATTGCCATAAGCCATTTGTTTTTCAGACTTTCGGTACTTGGGAAGCGAAAAGTTGAAACATAGCTTTCTGTTTTCAAAGCAGAATTATAGTTTGCATTGCATAAAGGAACACAGCAACAACGAGGCATATTGTCTGCGTCAAATACTTGATAAATGAAAAAAGAAAAATACAACCTGAATTTGCACGTTTTCAATAGTTGAAATCCTTAGCATCCTGAGGCGCGAACAGCCACAGTCACACTTCTTAGTTTATTTTTAAAGCACAGAAGCACTACAACTGGAGTCTATTTCTCATATATTATAGTCACCGATCACTTTGAACACATACACACACTTTGAAGCTTAGAAAATAAGCTTATATCTTAATTACAGCCTCTGCGATTCCAAAATCACAAATTAAAAAGGTTATGTTTTCTCAGCGTTTTGAGCGGCGAGAGTAACACTACCACCTGCGTTGCCAGATTTCTTTGTTCACGGCTCGTAGTTGACGTCGGCTGTGATAGTACCTACATAAGTATAAATATAAAAAAATACGTTAAACATCCTACAATATTAACAGAGAAAGTATAAAGGAAAAAATTACAAACACAATTAGAGAAGGAAAGATTAGTTGAGATTAAAAAGTCATCCAAAAATTCTCTACAGCTAAAATATGCTTATTTAGCTCATTGCATAAATCTGAGACCTTTGATAATCTTATAGTGCACATTTCTAATGATATATGGAAGTTTTTATAACGCCATGTGTTATTAATACATTCTTGCTGTTTTGACAAATAAGTCCACAGGCCATTATAAAAACGATAATATCGTCCACATATTTTTTTATGAAAATTAGATTGTATGGCAATACTTGAATAACAACATCAAGCAGGTCAACCTTTACATATTCTGCCAAAATTGGAGATAACACAGAGCCCATGGGGCAACCATGTGTTTGTGAAAACACTTTGTTATTAAAAGTAAAATAATTCTTCTAGAAAAGCGATATTGATTAAAGAATCCAGAGTTAGGTTGCTTGATTCAACCAACACTGTCTATCGCATTAATTGCAACAACTGTAATTTAGTTTATATAGGCCAAACTTCGAGGTCACTGAAAGGCAGGATAACTTCACACAAAAGTGACGCCAGATTACATCCAGAGAGATGTGCTTTGGCATCTCATATAAACAACACAGGTCACTCTATGCATTATGGCAGTATTGAGGTTCTTGACAAAGAAAAAAGACTCTCAAAACGTTTATTTGTAGAAATGTCCCACATTTTCATGACAGATCATTGCATGAATAAAAAGGCTGATGTTAAGCAGCTTAGTGTCATTTATTCCTACCTGTTGAATTGCGAAAAGCTAGAACGGCTACATATCCAAATCGAACCAACATCGTCCCAAACTTAGAATACATTTCCAATTGCTATCCTGGTAATTGAAATTTCTCACTCAAATCTTTAATATAAACTCACATAACCCATCTTTTTAAGTGTATATCACTATCTCACATTCGTACACTCATATGAACTACACATTTTTCCAAAATAAATTAATTTAGCATTTTAGTAATTTGGGTGGAGGTTTACTGAGCGTCCCTCGTATACTTCATACCCAAATTGGACAATGAGGTTTACAGTTCCACGTTCCGTCGCGTCAATCACTTGTCTTCTATCTTTCCGTGCCGTCCCCCTCTTCACGTGTAGCGGAAGTAGGAGGTTATAGACTGCATTCCGATTGTTTCCCTAAAATGTCTTCTCATGTTTAATAATTTTTAATATGTTCGGGTTTATTGATATTTTTAACATGTAGCGAAGGTATCTGTCGTTATCAACAAGCCCAATGTCTCCGTCCTTTTGTTTTTATATTTATAACAAGTTCTATCTTCGCTACGTTCGTTTTGAAACACCTTGTGGCTGCAACCTCAACGACGACTAAGTTGTTTGACAATTTAAATATGACCTGTATTCTTTGCTAGCATCACAATTGTGTTTTCAGAATCCTGATGAAGGCTCCATAGAGAATGCCAAAAGGTTGATTTTATCGTCAAAAGAGTCAACTTAAGCCTAAAAATTTGCCAATTTCCCAATTAACAATTAATTGTATTTTGTGCCCAACTGGTCGTTGGCTTTGGCAATGACTACTGCTCACATATATATATATATATATATATAGTTTGAGAATTTTTACAGCATTGTTAAAATATATCATACTTCGTGATTTTATATGATTCTAACATTCTAACAGATTCATTTTTGTCAGTTTCTTTTTACGCTATAAATATTTAAAAAAGTAACAGAACCCTTTACGCTGAAGTACATATTCAAACCTGAAATCAACGGAAATTGTCCTGTGTTTCTCATATCAACTACAGAATACCAATATTAACAGATAAGCACTACAGATCACTTAATTTTATATATCTACCATAAACTTACATTAGCCATGATTGTAAAACACATTACATTGGTAGTGAAGCACTCAATTGTCGAGATATATGACCGGGAGAGAAAACAGTCAATCTATGTTCTACGTATCTCTGATCACCATGGGTCGGCAGTAGAATGACATCCTCAATAGTCAATGTTCTAACAAATACTACCTTCCAATATAGAATCTCTTCAAATTAAACCTTTATTTCAAGGGACTAGGATGCTCCTTTGTTGATTAAAATCGCCTAGAAGAAAATTATTCTCTTATATAATTTCACCATCACGTTAGATACAATTAAAAGAGGTTAACTAAAAATTACAGCAACTGACCGTCATACTTGTCAAAGCCGCCATTTTTTTTGGATGCCAACAGTGTTGTCAGGTTATGGTTCGGCAACACCGCACTGTTTCCCATTCTCCCATATGAGTTGCCCCCGTGCGACCTGCTTGTACCACTGCATATTTGTCATTGATAAATTATCAACTGAACTATTACTTTTTCATTTCAGCGGCGCTCGCTCCGATCGCCAGGCGGCGGTTCCCGCAAGATGGATCGGTTGCGGCGATCGTTCCGCGATTCCTTCCGGAGGCGGAAGGCGGCGAACGGAAGTGGAGGGGGCGGTCCTGAATCAGCTCGCCCCCATCAGTGGCAGGCGGACGAACAGGCCGTTAGGGCGGGGCATTGCGCGTTCTCCGTCAAGTACCTCGGCTGTGTGGAGGTGTTCGACAGCAGGGGGATGCAGGTGTGCGAAGAGGCGATCAAAGTTCTTAGGGTGAGTATCTACAGGGAAAACCAAATTTGTCTGGCCGTCAGTTCAATATGTACGAGAGAGAAGTGTGTAACAACACATCTTAGAAAGAGATAGAAGCCGGCTGAAGAGCGAAGGTCATCACCCCCTTGCTTAGCAACGGTGAGACAGAAGGTCGTGCAATCTGCCGCGTTGCCAATATGCTACACCAATAAAGGTTCTCACAGGCTGCTACAATAGGTTACTATCAAACTCAAGAAGGGGGTCCGTTCCAGCATTTAATTTAATATTTTGTTTTCATTTTGGTTTGAATTATTTATTTCAATTTTGATGCGACTTACGGTCGTATCGTCAGTCGTTCCTATAATTGTAGGACGCCTTTATGGCCCCTTGATTTTCATAGTTTTCTACTGTTCCCTATCAGTGCTCTATTTTGGGGTTATCTTAAAAATATCTATTTCTATCTAATTATCATTCATGCTTGTGATTTATATTATCTGTTTTATCAGCCTGAAATTTCCTACAATTAAAAAAAAACAATAGGAGGATGCTGACACTGACCAGTAGAAATCTAGAAATACCCCACCCTTTCTGAAGAAGAGAAAAGGCTATGAAAATCAAGGAGGCTATAAAGGCGTCCTACAATTGTAGGAACGACTGACGATACGGCCCTTAGTCTTTTAATTTATTTCAGAATTATCTTTGATTTTCACCGATGGTAATAAAACATATCGTGAGTTATTGCTACAATTTACGACAGCGCTGCGGTTGGAAAATATAGCAAATTATCACTGCCTGCATGGACGCAGGCGAAATCCATTTCGAAGCAGGGCGACACTCCCCTACGAGCGCTAAATGGGTATTGACAAAAATCGCTCAATGATCATTGAGGTGGAAATGATGCAATGCTGCGATCCTGACCTCGTTTCGCGACGTTAGGCCCGATCGGGAATCAATCCTAAACAGATTCGACACAATTCAAAATTCAAAAATGTGTACGCTCAAAAAAAAGACTATTTGGCCGTAAAGAATAAACTAATATGCATCTTAATTCAAGGAACTGGTGTAACATATTGGCAATGCGGCAGATTGCCGCGTCAGCTAGGCAACGCGGTGATGAGCTTCGCTATCCAGGCAGCTTCTATCTCTTTCTAACATATGTTTCTATACACACTTCTCTCTCGTACACATTGAACGCAAGCCTTCAGATAAAGGATTCGCCAACACGCCTGTGGGAGAAGTGGTTTTGGTTAATTTTGCTGATTTGTTTATATGTTATGCGTGTTAGCATCCCAAACAAATGTTTCAATGAGCTTAGGGCCCCAACCTCAACGGGCTCCACGATATAGGCCGTCTAAGTCAGAACAATGGAGTTACGGTTCTACTCGAATATCTGCTTTAAAGGGCCTTGAGACCCGTTGAATTTGGGGACATGTGACAATCGAAATATTTGTTCAGAATGCCACGACATATAATTTAGCGAAACTGACCGGAACCACTCTTCCACTTGAAGCAGATATCCGAGTGGTACCGTAACTCCATTGTACTGACCTGGACGGCCTATATCTTGAGAGCTGTTGGATTTTGGGGTATCTACCCATTAAGGTATTTGTTCAGCGTGCCGAAATACATAACATATATATAAAAAAGTTAGTGAAATTAACAGAAACCACTCTTCCACTTAAATCAGATATTAGGATAGGGCCGATGTCCCATTATACTGACTTGGAGGACTATATCTTGGGGCTCGTTGAGTTTTGGGACTGATTAAGGCATTTGTTTAGGATGTAGAGATACATAACATGAAAAATTCAGCGAAGTTTACAGAAACCACTCTTTCACTTAAAGCAGATATTCGAGTAGAACCTAGCCTACGTTTCTCGAGCAGAAAGTCTATCAAAAAATAGTAGATACAAGAAGTTTCTGCAAACATACTTCCTAAAATTTACCATTACCAAGGTAATTTTTTGCCACTGATATGAGATACAACATCAAATAACGTTAGACTGAGATACCAATACCGGATGTTCAAATTCAACTCTCTCCATTAGGATTTCAGAAACGATAAGAGATATCAAGTCAGTTAAAAGTCAGTTAAATAGGAGCAAAATTGCGCATTTTGATAACCAAGAAACTGTCACTTAAAAAGAGTCACAATTACAAGTTGGCATAATCAGAATTACTTTCCATTTCTTGTCCCCAATCATCAACTTTGTTTTTTATGGACACCATATTGGATTTTTTCAGATGTATAATGTCCCATGCATTAATGTTGTAAAACTATCAAAAAAGCAGTATTTCCTAAGTATGCCTTGAAATTATCAGATATTCATTTTGTTTATAATATCAGCCAGCCATACCTTGGTTTTTATGAGCTGGAGTTATATTGAAACATATCATAACTTCGATTGGTATTATAAAAATATCTAAAGGGTAATCTTTCTATAGTACCTAGGTCTTAATTAATCGAGGAAAAAGCAAGGTGATACCAGACATTTTGGTGTAGTTTCAAGTAGAGAGTATCAGATTTTGATATGGCAATAACAGAAAATGGATTTATGAGTGTGGGTCGGTGGGACCACATTTTTGCATGCCCCAACTATTTTGACTTTAGTATGGTTTCACTTTTCAAAAAAAGTAAAATGAAAAACAAATTTATTCAGCTTGGTCAGAATTACGGCACGCAAATAATCGTATAATCAAGCTATTCATCCGATATCAAACAATAAAAAAATACCGCTTCCCGTCAAGGTAAATAGGTCAGTGCAACCTTGACTTGATCGATCTGAAATGCACCTGGCCAGTAATCTTAGGATTCCATGAGTTCACAAATACGATAGTATATACAGAATTATCTAACTCTGGTAGAATGTGCTATTATTAAAGTAGCCGCAGTAATGGCACGGAAATCACTTTTCTTATGGATAGTTGTGGTATTGTTTTTCTTTGGTAAGTTTTATCTTGCAAGACTAAATTTCTTCCACTTTGTAATTTGATAAAGACTTCCGCGACAGTCGTAATGCTTCTTTTTTTGGCCCGTTAAGTCGTTATAGGATGCAATTTTACTTTTTTTCATTTTAGAGTCTTTTGACGGTATATAAAGTTTGCTTCATGATTATTAACTGGGAAGATAGCGAAATAATAGGTTTTGAAAGTTAGAAAAGAAATTTCTAACAATAAAATTTTACAACGTTATACATCAATAGGTATATGAGTCCGCCGCTAACTTTTTGCAGATGCTTATTTTGATGAATGCTATTGACCGTAAGACAAGTGATTGTGGGTTCTGTTGACAAACTATTAAGTTCATATGTCAAATGAGAAATACTGTAATCGCAAAGAAATTCAAAAATGAGATATGTTTTGTCACTTGTTTCCGTCGGTCCCGCTATCAGTTAATCCCAGGAGTCAGTGAAGAGTCAACCTACTTGACGCTTTAATAGAAATGCGTCCTGTTGAAACTCCTCAGAATATTGTGGCAACTATTGAAGGTAGTGCTGTGTCTTACGATATAGTCCAACTCTGCTGTCGCGATTTTAAGTGTGGAAGGACATCTTGTCAAAATCAACGTGGCATCGATCACCTCGATACCGCTCTCAGTCAGCCCTACCTTTTGCACAGCTACGGCCGCTTTTTTGTACTTCAACCACCATGAAAGCCTAATGCCTAAATATCCCTGGCTATCGCTATAGAGCGATACATGCACAGATTCTGGTTCCGTTTCAGAGATCCGCTGGATGGTAGATCCACGTTCGATGGTCTGAAATTGTCTAAAATCTACGGACAACCACAAGATCCATGAGCAAGAAAAACTTCTCTTGCGAGGTTAAGCCTCAAAGCACTCTCATCTTGGCGTGATTCAAATATGAAATAAAATATTTGGTGCTAGATTCAAAAATTGTTTTTTGTTCAATGACAAGTGTAGTATTCCCAGATAAAAAATGGCGTCAAGTGAGTTGACTCTGAGAAAAAAGATAGCCACGAACATGTATAACCAAAAATTAAATGACCTTCTTTCGCTGAGAGGAATTGCTGCAGTCGCACATGATCGATCTGATGACCAATCCTGCGGGAATGACGATATTGACCTTCACCAATCACCATGCACAGTCGACACCGCCCACTGTGGAAGGGATTCTCAAATGTGACGTAGGACAATCGACGAGTTTCAAGGGTAAATGTACGGGGACATCTGTGATGAGTGAAAACGTCAAACATTTGAGATATGCACTTCCCGACACCCTGTAACCTCAAACCACCAATTTTTAACCACTTACAAAAGTTTTTCGAAAATGATCAGGATCGTCTGACACGGTAAAAAATCGAAGTTTGAGCGATTTTTGTTTGTTTTTGGCCTTTTTCTTCGCCGCCACTGGACCGATTTTGAAAAACGATAAAACTTTTGTGTCCTTGGCATAGTAGTAACATTTTTCGTCATGGAAATCCGAACGGTACTTTTCAAATTATAGGCGGTTATAATATTAGCGGCTTGACAGACAGGCAGACCGACGGAAATGACTGACTTGGTTTTTCTTAATGTACGTCATATTTTATAACATCCAAAAAATTTCCGCGCGTTTTTACTTCGTGGGAAGTAAAAACGCATTAGCAAAATAGTAAATATAGGACTATTATAATTATTGTATATCTGCTTGCCATGGTTTTTTAAATTACTCTAATTGGTATATCCTTACATGCGATTAACTTTTAGAGTATCTGATTTTACGTAAACAATCTTTATTAAATTATTAAATACATCTTTTATATTCATGCCCCTATTCAAATTCTCTTTATTTTAATATCGCGGAATATGCCGGTAAAAGATAGATAGAGTTTGGATTAAATCAATTGAACGATTTGCCGATAAAATTAGAAACTAATTATTTACATGAAATCTCCCGTGAAATCCTATATTAAGGCAAATAAGCTTAAAACATTTCTTGCAATAGGTATAGGGGTTATTTTTGTATCAGGTAGTTATAGGGTTAATTAAACAGTGCGCTTTATTAGAACTACCAACACCA